CGCGGCGAGCTGGGCCTGGCTGGGGCTGCGGGGGCCAAACTGGTCCGCGCCCCTCCCCCGAGGACCCGAGATGTGCCAACCCCTGGATCCTTTGCCGCCCCTCCCTCCCGGGTCGAGGCGCTCCGACTCCCTTGGGGCTGAGACAGAGTCTGGAGCGACTCAAGTTGGGCTCCGGGGACGCACAGCCAATCAGGGAGGGCGACGGAGGGAAGCTGGAGAGGGGTTGGGAGCCCCCATTTTCCTCCTTCCCCTAAATCCGCGCCAGCTGGTCAAGCTGGGTCCTCGCCTGGCCCGCCTGATGGTGGGTTGAAGGAAAGCATCGCCCAAGTGGGGGAGGCAATCAGGAATTAGGGAGCGCATTCTCTTCTTTCTCACTCTGCTACCCCACCCTCCAAAAATCCCTCCACGCTGGCGGCTCTTTCCCAGCTCCCACCCCTTTCCTCAAATCCCAAAGCCCCCTCCCTTGCAAACTCTGCTAGCGGTGCGGCTGGTGAAGCCAAAGGGATGGGGGCTTTGGACTTTGAGAGAGCCTTCTTGGTTCTCTCCCAGTCCTCTTCTCCCCCACGCACAGCGCCTCCGGGGAGACGCCAATAGGTCAACCTCACCCCCCCACCCGAGGGTTCCTTGATCCTTACCCCAGAGGGGTATCAGGCCCCCCGCGGGGTGGAAGGGGTCACTTGTTGCCTCCCCCACCGGTTCCCCGCAGACCCGCCAAGGAAGGAGGACGGTGGAGAGCGCTGCTCTGCGGGAGGGAGGGTCTATGGGGCGAACTACCCGCATCCTCCCTAGGTCTTGGGTTTCCCCTCACCGAGGGGTGCGGGCAACAGGGAGGAACACCAGAGCCCACTTCCAGCCCTCCTTCACCGAATCGCTGCGAGAAAGGACTGGCGGAGCCGGGTCTTTGCAAATCGCGTTAGGGACTGGGCGGGGCGGGGCTCTCCGGGTAGCGGGAGGCGCGTGGGGACCCGCACCCCGAGCCGGGAGCAACTGTGCCTACGTGGGGATCCCTGTTTAGGACAAGTTCCCAAGGTGGGAGCTGGCGGACAGGGAAGAGATGCAGGGAAGGAGGAAATGCAAATGGGTCAAGGGTGGAAGGAACCGCTGGGAGGGACTGGTCAGGAGCTGGGAGTGGAGATGGAGCCGCAGATCCGCGAAAAAGAAGGGTGAGAGGGAAGCAAAGGGAAAGCTGGTGCTGGAGCACAAGAGTCAAAAAAAAAAAAAAAAAAGGCAGGAAGAAAGGAGAGAGACCCAGGAGTTAGTGGGAAAAGAGGCCCCCAAACGTTCAGTCTCCAAGAAAGCGGAGCGCTCCTGGGGAGGAGACTGGAGTGCCTCGGGAGAGGAGGCTACAGAACCCCCAGCTTCAGCTCCCTGCCACCCGGGGTCACTGAGCGCGCAGAGCTCCTTGGTTTCCAATGGAGGCAAGGAAGCGCGCACCGAGGTGGGGAACCAGGCGAGGCTACCCTAGTACCTGCCCTCCTGCTTGCATCTATCTCCTGACGACTCCGTGGTCAGGATCAATATGCGCCAATCTCCGACCGCCTCCTGTACCAAGGAATATATTGCGGCCTTTAAATTGCCCATTCCTCCCGGGAAGGCGACAAATTTCCAGAAACTCTTATTCCTCTGATTCCCCCACCGCCATTGCCATACATGTCCAAGGTGACATTCCTCTGGGCCACCACAGCGACTCCTGGGAGACCACCGAGTGCTGTTCTGGAGAGTGCGGTTGAGGGGCCATCCAATTTCTTTCGCGTTTCCATACCTCTGCCTTGCTTTTTCTTATGGTCTTTATGACCTGTCCTTTCATGGACCACAGCAGTTTGGTCTAAACCATAAAACTCGGTATGGTACGCCACGCCTCTGCCCTAAGGGAGCATAGAAGCTAAGGCTTGCTCTGATCCAGCCATTGATGCTGGAGAGGAGGGAACAAAGTCTGATTCTCCTTCAGAAACAAACGGAAAGAAAGAAATACTTCAGTTTTGCTCTTGATTGGCTACAAATTGTTGCTTGGTGTATGCCATCCTTTTCACATAGGTATAAAGGGAACACACAGCCATTGTCAGTCATCCTAACTGCAAAGGGGCAAAGAAGCTCAAGTTCTGTGTAATGGTTGGGCATCTTGACCTCTGAGGAAAGTTTCATTAACTCTAGTTTGGAACACACCTAAGGATAAGCCTGGTCATATGTAATCTGACATTAACTGGAAATTGTCCTTTACTTTCTGTTCAGAATTCATCAAATGACAGTAGCTGTTTTTTAGACCATCCACTTCATTAATGGGAGCATCAGCAAAATTTAAAAGTAAGTTCAAAAATTTTTGGTAAGTTTGCACACTTGAATCCAAGGAATCTAGTATATAGCTGCTATCAATAGTTCTCTGCACAACCTAGCAATTTTATACCTAGGATTCTATTCAAAAGAACAACAACAAAAATATGTCCACACAAACACATATACTGAAAGATCCTAACAGCATTATTCACAGTTGCCAAAATTTGGAAACAATCCTAATACACCCAAAAATGAATGAATGGGACAGACAAATAATATTCCAATGGAATATTACTTGACAAACAAAAGGGAAAAGAATCTTGATAATCATTATATCATGAATATAACATATGCTAAAATCCAGACAGATGCTAAACCACACCTTGTAGAATTCCATTTATTGGAAATGTCTAGGAAGGCAAAATGATAGAGACAGAAAGCAGATCTTCTTGCCCAGGGTCTAAGGGTTTAAATAAGAATTGATTGCAAAAGGGGTGTGAAGCAACATGGTTGAGTGATGGAATGCTATAAATCTGGAGAGTGATGATGATTGTATGAATTTACTTTAAAAATCATTGACACGTTACAAAAAAGGCAAAAATAATTTTTATTCACACCTTTATTCTCAGAGAAACTTTGACCCACAGCTAAGCCCCGAAAGGAAATATTTGCAAGGCAGTTTTCCAGAGGAAAAAAAAAAAATATATATATATATATATATATATATAAGAAGAAGGAGGGGGGAAAAAGGAGTCTATTTCTTAAGGAAAGATAACCATGCTTCTATTCAGCAAGTTCTATTTTGGCAACTGCTTGGAGAGTCTTATAAGTGTTAAAGCAAGTTAATTTCCCCTTTCACTCTTCTAAGTGATTAATTCCTGGGAACTAGAGTTAGGCATTCCAGTTCGTGACATTTTAAACACACCTACACATAGACACAGTACAAAGTGCACATTTCAGAGGGGATTTTTATGACTATGTTAGGATCTGTCTTAGAAATCCATATCAAGCACTTGGGTGGGGTAGAGTGTGATTACAGTTTAGATTTAAAAAGGAAATGAAAAGAATAGGGGAAAAAAGAGAGAGAACCCACTGACAGCTTAAACTGAAAGACTCGGTTCAGACCCGGCAGCCCAAAGTTTGGGTGTTTACCTTAAGTTGCTTCACCTTTCCTCCGCCTGCCCCTTCTTCCAGGGAGGAAGCCAGGGTTCATGGTTGCTCTGAAGCCGGAATAAAACAGCCCCTTGTGCTTCCTGCCTGTTCCAATCCAGACCGCGATGAGGCCCAAATGAGCCTTTTCTTCTCTTTGTCCTTGTCAGCAAGAGTCTGATAATTTCCTGTCGATTCCCTCATCAAAGGCACCAGGCTCTCATCTCTTTGATGCATCTCTCCTCAGACTCTGAAGATAGCCAGACCCCGTTGAGAAACCCCTTGTTTCCACTTAGAAGCTCCAGGCTTGGACCTTCTCAAAAACTTCCTGTTCTCCTTTGTTCGTGTTGGAAAAAAAATGAGACCAGATCCAAGCAGGGAGTGGATTTCCTCAAACTGCAGTGGGCTCCAACTGTGCCTTCCCCAGGCAGAGGGAGAACAGGGAGAGAGATGCCTGGGAATACCATTTCTGAATCAGCACTCCAGGTAGAAACTTCCACTGTTGGAAAGTTAGGGGAAAAAAGGGAGAAGACCTCACACTTTTGATCTGTGTCTGATTCCTGGCTCTGTCACTTACTAGCTGTATGGTTTGGGGTAATATTTATATTTCTGTGATCGGGGGTTTGCAAATCTGTAAAATGGGAATTGTTATCTGTGTCAACATTGTTGTAGAGATTCAGTGTCCCCCCCCATACCTAAAACAATAAGTTCTGTGCTAGAAACAGGCTCAATGAATTAAAAGAATGATAATAACAATGATTAATTATGAGATCTGAATTCTACACCTAAAAATGACCTGAGCAAGAAAGAAGTTGTGTTGAAATTTTGAATTATAATAATTATGGATATTAATATTTTCTTAAATGTAACTAGTATTAAAAATTCCGGTCAAAATATTTTGACAGTTAAAAAGTTACTTACATTCTAAGGATTGTTTTGGTCTTATAGGATTAGCTGTGCCTCTCTTGAGGAAAGGCCCTGAGTTCATGTCTTAGATCTGACACAAATGCATTGAGGCATCTTGGGTAAGTCATTCCCTTTGCTCTGATCTTCAGGTACCCTCCTTGTAATGAGAGCTTGCCCAAGATGAGCTTTGGAGAGGTTCCTTCCAGAGCTGAAATTCTCAAGTCTTCTACTCAGTAAAATCAAAGCATCTTGTAATTCCCCTTTCTGCCACTAGGAGCAATCAGCCAATAGTCTCAGGTTGATAAGACCTGGCTTTCAGAACTTCTGTCTGAATCACATGCTTTTCAACCCTAAACATTTGTCATCCAGATGGTAAGTCTCCCCAAGGGAGGGTGAAACCCTTTTTATTTATATCTGCATCCCCAGCACCTAGCTCAATGCTTGACACATCAAACAAGGAAGCACAGTAAATATTTTTGAATGAACTACTAAATGCTTTTGAGGGGATGCAAATCAGTATATTAGTTAAATATCACCACACTATTCCATTATGAAAGATCTGAGCACTCAGTGAATTAAAAGTTCACTGACTTTTACTCTCATAGATCTTCAAATTGGCTGCAGTTGCCTGGTCTAGATTGGGCTGTGCTGGGGAAACCCAGTGTGCCTTCCCATATTTCTCCATTTCCCATCCTCTTTCTGAAACTGGTTTGTGCCTGTTCTCATGGTGATGGAAACTGCACAAGAGGTCATGTGGGGATGCACGCAGCCCTGGATTTAGTCACAGAACTAGGAACTATCCCTTCCAACTTACTGCAGTGGCCAAAGTATCTCAGGTAGTCAAATGGAAAGTCAAGATGTGGAAAAATAGAATCTGAGTCTTCAGCGGGGGAAACTTCAGAGTTGCACAAGCAGAGTGGATACAGAGACAGGGGAAGTGCAAGAGCGCTAATGCAGTTTCCTGCAGGCAGAATCAGGTTCCCATCATCCCTCCTTTCTGAGCCATCTTGAATTTCCAAGTCTCATGGGTTATATCCTCTAGTCACAGAGAGAGTTCTCTAGATCTTGGGAGACAATCAGAAGGCAATTCAGCCTCATGTCAGATCATTGTGACTTGTCCTTTGTTTACATCAAGGTTCAAGTTGGAACAAAGAAGGCAAGCAGAAGTCATAATGGAATTATAATAACCGCTAGCTTTTATTAAGCTTGTTTTATAGTCAGAAGCCTTTAGGTATAAAACTAACAATCCTCAAACCCTTCCTTGAAAGTATTGTTTTATTGTCCTTTTTCTCTAAATGAGAAAATGGAGACAATACAATTATAGGCACTGTCCAATCTAATACAGTTGGTAAGAGCTGGAGCTGGGGTTCCAACCTGCAGATATTTGACTCAAAAGGATGAAAGAAGGAAGGAATAGAAGCAGAGAAGGAAAAATGGAGGAAGGCAGGTAGAAGGAAAACAATAAAAGTATGATGTGCTATTTGGAATCCATCTGTTTCCAATATAAGAAGAAATGTGTGGATTCTGAGGGTCATGCATTCCTGCTCCCTAGACGTGCTCAGACCAGAGGTGCTCAGATCACGGGGCCTCACAATACGTCCTTTCCACAGCTGAGAAGCTGCCGCATGAGCTGACATTGTCTACCTTGCTCATCTTCCAGTCTCCACCTTGACAACACAAGTCCCACTTACCTTTCTGCTATTGTTCAAACGTAAGTATCCTCTGGATTCACATTTGCTGTTCCCTTGGCCCGGAACACCCTCTCTGTATTCTTCCTCATGGCTTACCCCTCAACTTTGCCTATTAAATAAGGACTTCTCTGGCTTGCTCATCAGCAGAAATACCCACTTGACATTCCATTCCCAATTGGCCATTGTTTTCTATCCACTTAGACTGCTTTATTTTTGCTGATAATATATTTATCTACTGTAAATTGTATTTACTAGAAATGTTTCTATTTGCTTGTTTTTAAAAAAAAAATATCTGGTTTTTAGTTACAGGTGGACCCAACATCTTTATTTTATTTTTATGTGGTGCTGAGGATCGAACCCAGTACTTCATGCATGCCAGGCAAGCGCTCTACCTCTGAGCCACAACCCCAGATCTATTTGCTTATTTTTATTTGTTGTCTTGCCCCACTAGGATACAAGCTTCCAGAGGGCAAAATACATGTTCTTTCTTCTTCACTCCTGTAACTTGAGCATCTAACACAGTGCCAGGCATATGGTAGGCTCTCAGTAAATATTTGTAAAAGAAATGCATGAATAATAAATGCATGAATAATGCTAACTGAATGAATAAGTCCCCAAACCAAAAGCAGATGGATCATCTGCTCAAATCCAAACATGGTGCAAGTGTCCCTTGCTTACAAAGTGAATTTAATGATGCCAATTATTCACATTACAAAATGATTCTTTGATTTACTAAAGGTTTCATTCAGAAGCTAGTTAAAATAGCTACCTCCTTTAACACTTTTAAAAATATAATTACATTTCCAAAGTGATGGGGTACAGACAAACTTCTTAGACTATGCATTTCCTAAAGTGAAGTATACAACTATACATAATGACAATTCTGTTTTTTGATTCCAGTTTGTTTGCCTTATGGACTAGGAGGTTGGCTTATTGAAACACCTCACAGAAGGCAATTTCAATGTTCCTGTGTGCATATATTCACATTCTTTTATAAACTCGTGAATAGGTGCATTTAAATGTGTTTGCTCTCCAAGAGAACCTTTGGAAATATATTCAGGATTGATACTGGTTTTCTTTGCAAATAGTCTACAATTTGGACAACAGGATTTAAGAAAACTGTGTACCAATTTTCATGACCTTTAACTATCAGTACCAGGAAGGGGGAGACAGAAATCATCCTTATCCAACAGAAAAAGCTTTTTCAAAAAATTTTCCTTCTCGCATGTCTTCAACTTAGAATAGTCAAACTTGCCCAGCATAAACCGAGTATTTTAGCATTAATCTAGTTGCTGTGTATATTTTCCTGTCCCTGTTCACTTGCCTTTTGGGGGGCAAACAGCTAATAGAAGCATTTCCTTTCAGCATAAGGTGAACCAAACTCAATATATTTTTATACACAGGTGACTTTAGAGCTTTATTTTTGCAAGCAATATTCTAGAAAAATCTCTCTATTCTGGTTGATAATCACCTTAGTTCTGAGTCTTAACTCACGATTGATTTTCCTTTTATATAGATTATTGTTCTGGGCTATGAGTAAAATTAAAGAATAATTTTTGGGTGCTTTTGAGGATTGAACACAGGTTCTTGAACATAGGCAAGCACAATGTCACTGAACTACACTTCCAACCTAAGAATAATATTTTTAATAGTTAGTCATTGAAGACCTAAATGCTTTTATTCAAATCCTTACCATTAATAATATACCCTTTTATAGGTGAGGATGGAAAAGCTTGGAAAATAGAATGTTTCATTCAGTTAAACAAATAATTGGATAATCAATGAATAATTAAATGTAATTCCGTTGTTTAAGCATTACCAGGGCATATAACTAGGAATACAAGTTACATGGAGGAGGTAGTAAGGAGCGTGAAGTCTTTTCCAAAGGTACTCATTCAAAATGACAATAAAAAAGTGTGCAGGGGGGTTAGGATGCTCATAGGGACGGGACACTTCATACACAAGGACTAGATTGTATAAAGACTTAGAGGCAAAATAGGATTTGGAGTACTTGAGAATCTTAAAAAGAATCCATAGGGCTGATGGAACTATATAGAGACTTACAATCTGCAGCCCAGTTTAATAGTAAGAACCGACAATTTTACCCAAATATAATAGGCAATTATTGAATGATGTGTTGTTTTTATGTTGCAATTATTACTGTTTTAAGCAGGTATGGTCTGATGCATTTGTTGACAAAGAGCTACATATTGTGGGTGGAAGAGAGCTAGAATGGATGGAGAGGACTCAATGCAGACAGGAGCTTTAGCTTGGGCCAATTGGTGACAACAAAGAAGAGAACAAGTTCTGAGCAGTTCTGTTCTGGAACTGGAATCAAGACTTAACACTGGGTTTATTTAGAGCAAGTAAATTATTTTTTATTTTGCTGGCTCAAGCAGTTGGGTAGATAGAGACGTGTATTGTTGAACTGCAGAAAGTTGGAGTATGACCAGGTATTTGTCTATGGGAGCAATTGGGAGGTTAGGTTCCCAAATCTGAAGCTTTATGAGACCATTTTGGCATTAAGGTGCTCACAGCTATTCTCCTGGGTCACCAGATGTTTAATTAGTTAGAACAGAAAGCTCATGTCTGAGGGCAGGAGACGTGGGTTCGGAAATTTGGACTTCCCTCTCTTTCTCAGAACCATTTCTGCTGGTCTAATTACCCAAGAGACTTCTCTGTGCCTGTTTCCCTTGAAAAGTTTATGATTCCTGGTTATGGACACTCCAGATGAGTTTTCAAAACGACGTCTGAAGGATACACTTATACTGATTCCATCCCAGTTGGAATTCTGCCCTGAGACACAGGTAAAGTAAGGCATGGCACAATGACAATGACCAGAGACACACACAGGCATTCAGGTTGCCCCAGAGCTCAGTGCACAGGTCAATGCAGTCCACTAAAACTGCCCTGCAGGGCCATCTGTCAAAGACTGTGGCTGTTCATGACCTTCAGATATTATCACCTGCTCTCTTTCCTACCTGAAGCGTCCACACCATTGCTCAAGCTCATCTCATTTCTACTCCTATCAGGGGAAGGAAGAGAATCCCATGGTACAGAGCACAGGCTTAGAAATTAAGTGCCCAAGTTTGAGCCCCCGGTTCAGCTTCTTCCTTGCCATGAACAAATCATTTTCCTCTGGGAGTCTTCAGTTTCCTGTTCTTTAAACTGAGTTAGAAAAGTGGTAATTCACAATGCTTGGGATATACTAAATGATCAGTGAGGGTTTTTCTCTGTTCTCTTTCTTCTCCTCCCTACCCCTCATTATCTTCTATCTTTCTGAACTGAGCTGAGTGATCAAACATTTCTGAAAAATAGCCCCTGACCTTTTCCCCTCCCACAGAGAGTCTTGTCTGTAATTGGATCTTGCCTCCTAGGGTTCCCTCTGCTGTAGGTTTTACCCTCTCTCTCTTCCAGAGATGTCTCTAGGCCAATGATTATTGATATATCATTGCTGTATCTCAAGTATACAGGCATGCAGTAGGTATTCAATAAATGTTTGCTAATGTTTACTGCCCAAAGGATGTTGGAAGCAGAAATCCTGGAAAGAAGAAACAGAAGAGAAGTAGGGGTGGGGGAATCAAATATGTCCTGTCAGCTCCTCCACAGAGATTTTGGTGTAGACATAAAGGAAAAAAAATAGAGTAAAAGCAGAATCCATTAATTGGCTCGGATTGGATTACTAGTTCTCTGCTGGGTGACATACAGCTATCGTGCCGTCTTTAGTACAAGCAATCTTTGATTGACTAAGGAATGTTTATCAAAAGAGGCAAAATTTGCCATGTGTATTTACATTCTGAGATGCTCTGCTCCTTTAGCTTTGCTTACATCAACCGACGGAAGGGGGAGATGCTCTCAGACTGTCTGATTTCTTTAAGTCAGATGAGTCACAGAAGCAAACATTGAAAGATGTGCTGCAAAATAATCAATCATCAGATAAAACTGTTTGGATGTGACAGATGTATAAAATGAAGTGAGACCATTTTTTTTAAAGCTAAAGGTTTGCATATTTGCAAAAGATTCTGATAGAACAAAGAGAAAAAAAAAAACATTTGCTGGACCATCACTTGAAAGGAGGTATCATTTCAAAGGAGAGAGGCAACCAAAAATAACCTTCCTTCATCTCTTAACCCTATTCCTCATCCTCATGCCCAGCTCCAGTAATGGCTTTTTCATGATGAATTATTTTTGACTTTCCTTTCATTAACAATGTGGCTTCTAGAACACAGAAATATTTTGCTTGGTCAGTGTCTGTCTTAAATATCATATAATATAGAAATATCGGCAGCAGTGGGAGCAGTAGCACCCAGTGTATCATTACACCCATTTGGCTGATGCAGAAATTGCAGTGGTCGGTGAGAAGCTGTGTATATACATCGACACGGCTTAGACTTGTGCAGCTTGGGACCCACACATCCCATCTTATACCAGTGTCCCCTTGTACTTCTCAAATGGAAACTGGTAAGCATCCTGTCTGGTGGGATGATGACTTCCTGCATAGTGGACATTTCACCTCTTGTAATCTATCTATTTCCTGAAGCCAAATGCATGGAAAGTTATCAAACCCTGTCTGTCTCCAAATGTCCACATGCTGTAAGCATCATCCTCTTTGCTTACTGTTACCCCTGCTTAACAACAAGCTTCCCCCTGTGCTCTGGCTAATTCAAATCTATTCTTCAGAAGATCCATGTTCATGGGTCTGTTCCTCCAGAAATATTTTCCTGTTACTCCTTCCCTCTCTCCCTTCCACTACAAGTAGGGACTTAAAATCCTCCCTTTGTGCTCAGTACATCCTATACTTATCTCTAATACAGTACTTGACCCATCATTTTCAAATATTTTCTTCCAAGGTTTTTATTTCTTTAAGTGCAGGGACCATATTTTATATATCATTGTGTCCCCAGAACCTATCACAGCCCTGGCAAATAGACTGTATCAGTGCATTTGAAGGTAAAATAAGAATAACTGCTGGCATTCATTTCATGCTCACATTGGCCAGCCACGGTTTTAAGCAGTTCATATGTAGATTCACTTAATTCTCATAACAGACATGTGAGACAGACAGGATTGACAAGGATCTTTTCTTGTAGGGAAGAAAAGAGGAGAAAGCATGTCCATGAACACATGCATACACATGGCAGTTTTGAGTATTTTAGTGAATCGTGAGCTTGATCATTTTTAATATATAAAATAACTGGAAACTCAT